AAATATAAAAAGATGATTGTTATGAACCCTTGTCATGACAAATAAACGTTCAATAGTATTTAGAAATAGTCAGGTTATGTTTCAATCATTAGATTTTGTGAAATGTTGAACGTTTTATTTTTGTACCGATGTTTCTCTTTCCATTTTTATGTGGTACATAATATGAAAACATTATATACATTATGATTTATTTTCCTTTTCCAGTGTGGCGGTCTTCGATTCACATTTCCATCGGGCTTCTATTATTTTTTGTTCTGGTAATAGAAAATTAAGAAAAAAAAAATCAAATAGTACTTCATGCACAGCGGCACACCAAGGTGTGATACCGATGGAATGGTATATCAAAATTTGGAATATTATTGTAATGAGCTGCACCCAGGGAAATTGAAAATTGGACCTTTTGGAATCACAACAAAAGAGAAGAGCGAGAAGAAGGAATGGGTAATTTGTTCGGATTTTTATTCTTTTTTCCTCATTTTGGCGACTTTTATTGTTCAATATGATATCAGACAAATGGAAACCCTATTTGAGAAAAATGAATGAATTTGTAAATGGATTGGAATTTCTATCTATACATAGGTTTTATAAGGGATAAAACTAGAAATATTCCGATAAAAATCGAAATATTCATTTTAAAAGGTGAAAACACGTTCGATCGGTCGTTTCCGATATATTGATTGAATGAATCCACAAATATTCATTTGTAGTTCGAAGCAATTTTCAGTTAATTGATCTCTATTGCTTGAAGTATGGTGGTCAGTATAAATATTCGTAAGTACCACGAATTTCGCACTGATTAGTTTCTTCGATCTGATGGAAAATTGAATGACAAATTTAGCTAAAATGAATGAACGAAAATTGCATTTCATTTTTAACGAAAACTTTGTTTAACCTCTGGACAGTTCTCAAAGGTAACCAATACCAAACAAGAAATACACAGAAAAACACTTTTATTTCAATTAATTTAAAATGCGCTTACAATTTTCGAAAATCAACGAATATACCAATTAATAGCGAGTGTATTTATATCTTTTTTAACAAATGTATTATATCATGAAAAATTGATTACACTTAAGTTAGCATTTCGATTAACTGTGTTGACGTTGATATAAAAATATATTCACGAGAAAAAGTATGAAATCTTACACTATTTTTTGTACAAAATCATCACATCAATGAAACGAAATGTCATAAATATAATAATAATATAAATATAAATAATAAATCTTTTTTGGAAAATATGTATTCTGTGAAATTCGATTATCAGAAAATGGATGCATTTAGAATCATGTTGATTTGATTTACTCTTGCATTTATTAGTTTTCGTTATGATTTTCAAAGATGGATCAAAGATCAATTTAAGAATAATAATTAAATACATTATACAAGTTTATACTTTATTTAGAAGAAAAATACTATTTTTCTTCTACATACCGAGATAAAGAATATATCTTTTGATACTGTGTCAAAATCTGATTTTGTTATCAGCTCTACCGAAAAATAGTATCCCGATCAGCTATCATCTATTCAATGCTCAAGAACTCTTTTGCTCCACATAATAAGAATTGTATTATCAAGGTCGCTTTCTTCGTATACAAATACATGAGAAAGATTTTACGTAAGACGCCAAGACGCCTCTACGCATGGAATGCTCGAAGCTGTCATCGTACACATATTGAACACGAACATTGTCGTTTACACAATCGAACTCACACAAATGAACGCATCGATAGTGCCCGCTCAATAAATGTACAATGACTGTTTTGAGTGTCCCTCGCCTAGAGGGCTGCGTGTCATTTTTCTTCGTTCATTAAGCGATCTTGGTATTATAGTACAATCTATTATCGTAACTATTAATGGTGCAACACTACGCATTGCGCAGACCATCTCCACTACCTCCCTGGTGAAAAACTTCCTACAACTCTAGTTCTCCTTCCTTATTCACTTGTGTACAAACATACACACATGTGTATTTACTACTGTGTCCAAAAAGTAAGGTGACATTGCATTTAAAATTTAGCGCGCTGGGGAATTTGAAAAAATCCTTTTATTTTTAGGTTGGTAGGACTGTCTTTGACATCCCTGCCAAATTACACGTCAAAATATTCATTAGTGTTTGAGATACGCTTCGTTTTGTGGACTGCTAAAAGTGAATTTCTCGTTTTTTGCGATGTCGAAATTTGTTGATCAAAGAATTTGCATTAAATTTTGTTTGCGGAATCAATTTTCTGCTGCGGATTCGTTGAGGATGGTGCAGAAAGCCTTTGGTGATGAGGCTATGTCGAAAAAAAATGTTTACAAGTGGTATAGTGAGTTCCAAGCAGGCCGTGAATGTGTCGAAGACGAAGAGCGTGCTGGGCGACCATCAACCTCAACCGACGAAGCTCACGTCCAAAAAATTAAAGATTTGGTGTTGGAAAACCGTCGATTAACGATTAGAGACCTTGGTGATGATATTGGCATATCGAAAGGCTCAGTCAATACCATTTTGAAGGATGTTTTGGGCCTCAAACGCGTCAAATCTCGACTGGTACCGAAATCATTGAATTTTTTGGAAAAAAGGTGTCGAGTTGACGTGTGTGAAACAATGCTTTCTGACTACATTGACAAGACGAAATGCATGATCACTGGAGACGAGACTTGGATCTATGCTTACGACCCGGAAACAACCGACCAATCGAGCGAATATCGTGCCAAAGGTGAGCCGAGACCAAAAAAACCGCGCCAAAGTCGCTCAAAAATCAAGGTCATGTTGACTGTTTTCTTCGATTATCGGGGTGTTGTGCATTATGAGTTCCTTCCCCCGGGTCAAACAGTCAACAAGGAATATTATTTGAGTGTTATGCGTCGTTTGCGTAACGCTATCCGCCAAAAGAGGCCGGAATTGTGGAAAGACAACTCTTGGTTTTTGCACCATGATAATGCATCGTCTCACAATGCGATCATTCTTCGTGAACATTTCGCCAAAAACTCGACTCATATCGTTCCACAACCACCGTATTCACCTGATTTGGCACCGTGCGACTTCTGGCTGTTCAACAAGCTCAAAAGACCGCTCCGGGGACACCGTTTTGAGACGATAGAGCAGATTGAAGCCGCAGCGAAGACGGAGCTGAGGGCCATCCCTGAAGTCGACTTTTTCAACTGTTTCGAAGATTGGAAAATCCGTTGGCATAAGTGCATTGTATCGGGAGGGGATTACTTTGAAGGCGATGAAATTGATTTGGAAGAATAAATAAAGAATTTTCAAAATAAATGCAATGTCACCTTACTTTTTGGACACAGTAGTATTCAAGAAATCAACCGCCAATATTGCAAAAAATAGCTTATGTCGCCACCTTTCCAAAACAGTATAATATAGGTGCCGCTCTCCCCAGATCCACCCAAATCGACTTATATAGTGGGAGGATGTAAAAATCTCATGTGGCTGCCAAAGGTCATTGCTCCGTACCTATTGGTACGTAGATAGGGAATTATTTCTTTGAACTAAACTATAGTTTTCGTCAATACCTTTCCAAAAAAGTATATCGTAACCCCCTAGGTCCCCCCTTTCGTAAAAATATAGGCAGAGTTTGACTCAGGCGACAGATATAAGCTTTAGCATAGAAAAAATATCCGCATATTTTTTGGTTTGTCCACTCTCAGTATATAACGGCACCCAGCTTCATCGAGTATCAGCACGCACACTGAACGTAGTAATATAGATTATAGAACGGTTTGTTCACAAAGAAAAAAAATTGTTTATAAACAAAATCTTCCAGAGCTGTACGGCGCAATGTATTTAAACGGCAGCAATTCTGTCCTATGTTAAGGTTTTGCGCTGTATAGTTCTGGTAGATTTTGTTTATAAACAATTTTTTTCTTCGTAAACAAACCGCCCTATACTGCCACGTTTAGTGTGCCTGTGCATGCTGATACTCGATGAAGCTGGGTGCCGTTATATACTGAGAGTGGACAAACCAAAAAATATGCGGATATTTTTTCTATGCTAAAGCATATATCTGTCGCCTGAGTCAAACTCTGAATATAGGTATTGATGAAAATTAATGGCAAACCAGAACTTTTACTTCACGTAGCTTCTAGGAGTATGAATATTTTTTCGTTTTTTTGTATGCTGAGGGTAGCTTAGGTACATTTCATTTCAGTACTAACATTTGCAACTATCTATTTTACCGTTATTTTTTACCGTTTTATGTGTGCAACTTTCACATTTTTTTCAAAATCTCTGCCTATAAATCCTCAGCCGTTGCAAATAAAGGACTGGTCTCTGGTGCAAAGTTATAGCACTTAACCAGAGCTGTGCAGCGCACAGTACTAGAATGTACTAATCTGTTCTAAAGTGTACTAAAGGCTTAACTTTACTTTACAGAACTTTTTGGAATATGAATATTTTTTTATTTTCTTTTCGCTGTGGATTGCATATGGTCACTACATTTCATTTCTCGGGTGCGATTTGCAATTTTATGATTTACCGTTATTTTTTGACAGGTGTGAATTTTGCAAATTTTTCAATATCTAAGCCTATAAGTTCTCAGCCGTTGCAAATAAAGCATTGATCACTGAAGCAAAGTCTTAGTACTTCATCAGAGCTGTAATGTAAAGCGGAATGAAAAGATGCTTGTCGTTCAGAGTGTGCGAATAGAATGAATCTCTCTTTATTATACATCGTATGAAATGAAGTTGGTGTTAGCGTGCTTGTCATTTGTTTGTCTAATGCAGTAGTGGAATACATTTGTTTGACTTATATACAACACGCTCCTCCTAAAGTTGTTTTTACAATAAATATAATATGCTTTCTTTATTTACATCGCAAGAGAAAATGAATGTTATGATGAATGTGAATGCTATAATTTAAACAATGAATTTAGTCTAAAGTATGGAATTTAAAATAGAATTGCATTCAATGAAAGTATTCACATATCTGTGGTAAACAAATAATCATTTGGTATTTTTGACGGCTTTGCCATTTTTGCGTGAACGCAGCCCTCTCTTTCCCCTACGATTATCTTGATCGCTCATTTCCTCTTCATCAGTTGCCGAATCAGAATCAGCTCGGTTTGTATTTGGAATCCAGTCTGGATCTTCAGCTCTTAAATTGTTGCCTGATGACGAGGGTATTTGCATTACATTTTCCATTGATTCATCCGAAACACTGATCACAGTCGCGTTTTGTTCACTTGCAGTCGATGCGTTGGCTTCGTGATACAAGGAGTCATCTAATTCAACGGTTTGATCACGAATCTGATCCAAATGACGATTTATTTCTTTTTTATTGTGTGTGTAGACACAAGTATACGCACGTGGACCAACTTTATGTTTTATTGTTGCTTGCGACCATGAAGGATTGTTTGGATCTTTATAATTCCTAATCATGACATTTTGACTTTTTTTTAAATTTATGTTACGTTTGCCATGAGAATTCTTCTTTTGTATTTCTTGCTTGTTCTCGATTACTTCACTTACAGTGGGTGGTCGCAAATTACTGAAGCGTGTGCGTAAAGTGCGCCCAAAAAATAATTTTATTTTTATTTTATTTTATTTTATTGAACACCGCCAAGCTCTGGCTGAATATATTGTGGGTTTTGATTGAGGTTTGGCAGGAAAAGAGTGCGGGTGTTTCGTCCGTTGTACAGTGAATGGTATTCCGATAGTCAAGCAAAATCCGAATTATGATAACATCTAAATCACGTGATTTATTGTTCATGTTTGCACTATTTACACTAGCAATAAATGACTTCTTTAACGTTTTCACAAAATTTTCAGCTTGGCCATTCGTTGCTGGATGACCTGGTGAAGTGAAAGTGTGTTTAATGTTGTTTCGGGTAGTGAAGTCATTGAACTCAGACGATGTGAGTTGAGTTCCATTGTCGCTCACAATCCTGTCTGGAATTCCATAGCGACTAAATAGATCACGCAATTTACTAATGGTGAATGCAGACGTGATTGTTTTCGTTTTGAAAACTTCAACCCATTTGGTGTGAGAATCAATAACAATTAAAAAATAATTGTTGAATTTTGGTCCAGCAAAGTCAACGTGAATTCGACTCCAAACTGAGTCTGTTGGTTTCCACGGAATGAGCTCTGCTTTAGGTGGACTTGCCTGCAATTGTTGACATGGAATGCATTTTTTAATTAAATTTTCGATATCAGAATCAATTTTCGGCCACCGTACATAGGATCGTGCCAACGACTTCGTTTTGACAACTCCCATATGTGACGCATGTAATTCGTTAAGAATGTATTGTCGCAACTTAACTGGAACAACCGTTCGAAAACCCCACATAACACATCCGTATTGTACAGTGAGTTCGAGCGATTTGCTTTTGAACGCTTCAAAGTTTGAATCCAACTTGTCAACCTTGCCGTTCTCAATGGCTTGCACCAGTTTGCCAAGAATTGGATCACGACGTGTTTTGACAGAAATATTTTTAAAATTGATTCGTAATGCATTGTCTTTTTCAATCATGTTTACGTAATTTGCATCATAACACTCATAAATGTATGATAACTGAGGTATGCGTGACCAATTGTCGGCTTCATTATCAACACCTTTTACGTATTTGATTTGATAATTAAAACCACTCAGTATGAGAGCCCATCGCTGCACGCGAGCTGCGGCCATCAAAGGTAATCCATGATTTTCACCAAAAATCGTTAATAACGGCTTGTGATCAGTGGAAATTTTGAAAAAATTTCCCAATAAATATTGTCTTAACTTAGTGACTGAAAATATTATGGCTTAGTGATAAGACTCTAGCTACCGAAGTATTGCATGCATCTGTCGTGAGAAATATCGGTAGTTTCGTATTGAAATGAGTCATTACCTGCTCAGAAGAAAATTCTTGCTTTATCAAATCATATGCTCTTTGACAGTCTTTGTCCCAATTGTATTGAACATCCTTTCGAAGCAAAAGATACAATGGTTTCATTTTACCGGCAAAATCCTTGATAAAACGTGAATAATAATTTGCCATGCCAATAAATGCTCTTTACTCATGAATGTCTTTTGGAACGGGTGCATCTAAAACAGATGAAAATCGATCTTCATTTTTATGTAGACCATTTTTATCTATGGTAAAACCAAGATAAGAAATTTTCCTTTGGAAGAAGATGCATTTATTTACATTTAATCTCAAACCGGTTTCGGACATTTTCTTCAAGACTGACTTTAAATTGAGTAGATGGTCTTTGAAAGTTTTTCCAGTAACTGTGATATCTTCTTGATACACAACCTCACCTTCAATACCTCTTAATAAATGTTCCATGTGCATTTGAAAAATTGCAGCAGCTGGCTTGCCGAAAGGTAAGCGTTTCATTTTGAAGGTACCAATGTGAGTGCTCCAAGTGCACAACTGTTGGGATTCTTCATCTAAACACAATTGATTGTATGCTGCACACATGTCTAATTTACTAAATAATTCTCCACCTTGCAACGACGTGAAGATCTCATCAATGAGAGGTAATGGATATTTAACGTCAACAAGAAACTTGTTGATTGTCGTTTTATAATCACTAAAAACACGCAATTTGCCATCTGGTTTAGGAACGGGTACCAATGGTGTCCCCCATTTCGAAGTCTCGACTTGTTCAAGAACGTCTTTTTGAACTAAATCACGTAGATTTTGTTCTATTTCAGTTTTCCAAGCCAGTGGAACTGACCTAGGTTTACAAAATATCGGTTTGGCGTTACTATCTATTTGCAAAGGAACCTCACAAACGTTATATTGGCCTAATTGGCCTTCAAAAAGATCCGAAAATTTATTTTTAATTTGATCAACAATTATTGGAATGTTCTGAGTATCACTTGATTCAATTGAGTGAACATAACCATCATGATTTTCCGCTTGAATTAACAAGAATTTAAATGAACGTAGAAAATTTCTACCCAATAATGGTGGTGCATTCGCGTCGGTCACAATAACTGTAATACATTTAGTGGTCCCACGATAACTAATACTTGCTGAACACTCACCAATTAAATTGATTCTTATTCCACCATAATTACTGTACGGTATTTTACACTTCGCGAGCGGAAACTGTGATAAATGCTTCTCGTAGAATGCTTTTGGTACAAATGTGCGCGGTGCCCCCGTGTCACATGCAATGTCCATCAGAGTGCCTCCAATCGTGACTTTCAACCAATACACTTCGCTTGATTTGTCATCGGTCATACTGTATAAAGAAAAATTGAACAAATCACCATCAAAAATAGAATTTAAAATAGTATTAGAATCAAAAATAGAATCAGAATCTGAAATAATGAAATTAAAATTTCTCTTATTGTTATCTTTGGAGCGGCAAACACTGCTTAAATGACCCTTTTTTGAACAGGAATGGCACGTGACGTCTTTGTATGGACAGGAATTGGCCTCATGTGTCTTACATCCATAGCGGGAACAAACAGTTTTCTTGCCATGCGGTTGCTTTGAATCGTGTGCAGTCCCATGTTGTTTGTTGTTGGTGCGTGAATTACGGTACTTCTGACCACGTTGTGATCGAATTAGGTTAACATCGGAATCCATGCTCTCGTTTCTCAACGCAAATTTCGTCTCAAACACGAGCGTTTGCCAGTGTTAGCTTCTCATCCTCCTTACACAACCGTGTAAACATTTTCTCAGGCAATTGTGTGATGAACTTGTCTTTGACCATAACCTCCAAATCACCTCCAAATTTGCATTGCAATGCCAACTTCTTGATGCGTGCATACCATGACGAGACGCTCTCAGTTTCATTACGTACGGCATCGTGGAAAATTTTCCTCTCGTGATACACAATGGTCGGCGGTGTGTAATGCTCATCCATAATTGCGCACAAATCTGCATAATCTTTCTTTATCGGCTGCTCTGGATCACACAGGCTGCTCAGTAACTCGTACGCTGATGATCCGATCGATTTCAATAAAACCGCCTTTTTGGCATCATCTTTGGTGCAATTGATTTCAGTGAAATGGATGTCCAAACGCTCTTTCCAAATTTTCCATTTGTCTTCACCTGCGTTGAACTCTCCGATGGTCGTCGATTGGATTACGGTATTTTTTTCTTCCGGCATTTCGATAATATTCGCGAAAACGTGAAACTACGTGTTAAGTTTTGTTTCTCTGATTTGCTTTGCAAAAAAAAATTTAGTTTAAATAAAACTGATCGTAATACGATTTTCGCTTAGCTTTTCCAAGTACTTTTTCGATGTAAAAAAAATTTACGGTGAATTCGCTGAGATCTTTTCTCGCAGTAATACTTTGAGTTGCCCTTTTGTCGCCAATTTGTAATGTACTTGTAAAGCGGAATGAAAAGATGCTTATCGTTCAGAGTGTGCGAATAGAATGAATCTCTCTTTATTATACATCG